TCCCACATCACTGTCTCTAGATGCTCAAAAGATACCCTGAAAATCTCTCTCTCATTCACTCCATCTCTTGTCTCTACTTTGCTCTTCAGGTGACAGCAAAGGTGATTTGCAGGCTTACCTGGTCCTTGGTGTTCATGACCAGAATGAGATACGTTTCCTCTTCCTGGGCTCGTATAACAGACGTCCTCTATCAGGGCAGATGCCTCTATGACCGAATGGGAACGGCAAGGAGAAAAAACCCATTACTCACCCCTGATTCCCCACACGACCTTCCTTGGACACAAGAATTCCACGGTTAATGACTCCTTTGGGATAGGACATTGAGGGTTCTTTTTAAAATGACAAATATGTTATATGGGAAGGCAGACACAGTAAGGCATTATCATGCACTAAGAGTTTATTAGGAAAGAACTTTTCAGATTGTCCACTTGACCTCCTCGTTTGGCCCAGGGCAGGCTCTCACCTTCCTGAAATGGTCAGTACAGTTACGAGTCGAAGAAAGAAACAAAATAAATTGACCTTTGATGAGCTTCATTCTGCACCATGGACTCACTAGCAGATGGCAGTGAACTGAGAAATCTTGGTGGCATTTTACCCCTAAGTTGTAGGATGGCCTCAGGAAAGGAGTTTCTGGACACGGGAGGTACCGACGCTGGCAGCTTCTTATTTCATACCATGTACCCAGCACGATGCTAGGCAGGCTGCCTAAGTTATCTAACTTGACGTGCTCAGGAAAACTGTAAGGCACACACCTCCATTATTCCCATCTTACGATGGAGGAAATTAACTAACTCAGTCAAGGTCACGCATCTATTAAGTTGTGGAGCATGACGGACCCCCAGGACTCCATGACTTCAAAGCCACGTTAATGCCATCGGGCTGCACCAGTGCAGATGCTATGAGAGAAATGCGTCCGTCCAGGGAGAGTCCCCATAGACAGAATCTGGGTGTCCTTCCAGCTCTGAGGCCCATGAGTCTGCGGGGTCTTCAGAGATTTTTGTGGGAGAAAGTCCTTATTTGCATGGTATGTGTCTCTCTCCACTTTCCTTTATCCTCATCACTGGAGATTACATGTGTCAGCAAGTTCCCTACAGGAATATTGTCTGGGCATGAGAACAGCATAGAGGAAAGTCACCAGCAGCTCATCACCAAGGCCAGCTGAGGGCTGGAGGCTCATCCGCTGGCTGTATTGTCTTTGCTGGGCACTCACTGTGGTCATGACGCTACAGGCCAAGCCCCTGCTTGAGGACTAGACCAGGGAGGTCACTGTGTCTCCAAGTGGAAGAATAGCTCTAGCCACTGGACCCGCCCTCCCATCAGTGGGAAAGCTCTACTGAGATTGCACCCTGTATCCTACCCTACCTGTGCTGCTAGTCTTCAGGTTAGGGGGGACTTTTTGTTAAAAAAAAATACGATGGTAGATGTAGGTGCATTGACCTTGGGAATCTGGCTGAAAACCTATACACCTGCATCATCTGAAAAGCCTACACCCTGTATTTGCAAGTTAATAGTTTTTATAGTTTCTTAATGTCTACCTACACCTGCCCAAATTCCCATTTTTCACCTAGATCTGGAATCCTGGACAATTTTCCTATAAACTAGTACGTGATGTTTAGCAGCTGAGTAAGTTTTATGTCATAATTAACCTGGGGTTCACAAACGACATGCTTTTCAAGCAGGTGCAAGCACCCAAATGCACATATATACGGAGATGGACAAAAAGTTTGCACAAAATCATCTGTAGGAAATATACATTTAAGACACACATGGTACCTAGATCCCTACCTCACTCCTTAAGCACACACAGAATAATTCTAAACAGATTTGAGATTTTAACATTTTTGTTAAATTCAACAAGTTTTGAATGGGAGTCCTTTCTGTGGGTGACAGAAAACTAAGGGCCCACAAAATACATGATTGATAACTTGATATGATAAAGAAAATTCTAAATGGAAATAAAAACTAATAAAGCAAGACAAAGCCAACAACAGAAACAGCTTTTTTAAATAGGCAAAAGTATTTATAGGCAATTAACAAAAAAATAAACATCACTGATTACTAATATTAAAAATAATTCAACAGAGGGACTTCCCTGGTTGGCACAGTGGTTAAACTCTGGGCTCCCAATGCAGGGTGATGGGGTTCGACCCCTGGTCCGGGAACTAGATCCCACGTGCATGCTGCAAGTAAGAGTTCACATACTACAACTAAGGAGCCCATGAGCCACAACTAAGGATCCCACCTGCTGTGACTAAGACCCAAAGCAACCAAATAAATAAATATTTTTAAATGTTTTTTTAAAAAATAATTCAGCAGAATACTACTTGCCAATAAGAAGGGGCAAATAGGTTGATGCATGTATTAGGCACCACTGTATCACACAACATAAGGGCATTCATTATGCTGAGTGAAAAGCTATCTCTAAAGGTTACATGTTGAATGATACCGTTGTTATAACATCCTTGTAATGGCAGAACTGGAGGTGGAGAGAGTGGATCAGTGTTGCCGTGAGGGTAGGGATGGGGTGCGGTGGAGGATGTGATCAAGGGGGTAGGATGGCAAGCTTCTCTGTGCTTCTCTGCCTTGGTTGTAGGGATGGATGCACAGATCTGCACACGAGATCCAAGCACAGGATGGAATAGAACAGTAACCCGTACCTACCACACACACACAGTACGTGTGAAAACTGACGAGAACAGTGTAGGATCTGTAGCCTTGTCCACAGCATTATGCCAACGTCCATTTCCTGGGTTTAACATTATACTGCAGTTCTAGAAGATGTCACTTTTGGAGGAAGCTAGGTGAAGGACTTACAGGACTCCACGCACTATTTTTGTTTTTTTTGTTGTTTTTTTTTTGCGGTACGCGGGCCTCTTACCACCGTGGCCTCTCCCGTTGCGGAGCACAGGCTCCGGACGCGCAGGCTCAGCGGCCATGGCTCACGGGCCCAGCCGCTCCGCGGCATGTGGGATCTTCCCGGACCGGGGCACGAACCCGTGTCCCCTGCATCGGCAGGCGGACTCTCAACCACTGCACCACTAGGGAAGCCCACCACGCACTATTTTTGCAACCTCCTGTGCATCTATATTCATTTCAAAATAAAAAGTTTACAAAATTAAATACTCAAATCCAACTAGAAAAGGAAATTGAAATCATGAGATGCTAATTTTTACTTACCATGTTGGGAAAGTTTCATAATAGTCCCTGTTGGGAGCTGTTATGGCTGCATTGAGTCCCCACCACACGGTGAAGCCCTAACCCCCAGGACCTGCGAATGTGACCTTATTTGGAAACAGGTCCCTGCAGACGATCAAGGTAAGATGAGGCCACTAGGGTGGACCCTAGTCCAATGGGACTGGCATTCTTTTAAAAAGGGGAAATGTGGGCAAAGAGACACGTAAGGGGGAAAACAGGAAGAAGACAGCTGTCTACAAGCCAAGGAATGTCTCAGGTTACTGGAGCTGGGAGTGGAGTCCGGAACAGACTGTCCGTCATAGCCATCAGACAGAACCAGCCCTGCCAACGCTGATCTCATACTCCTACCCTCTGGGACTGTGAGGCAAGGCATTCATACCACATCAGCCACCCAAGTTGTGGTACTTTGTTATAGGAGCCCAGATATCTAATACCGGAGGAGTACAAGGAAACAGACTCTTTCATATACTGCTAGTGAGAATATCACATGGTTGCAACTTCCTTGGAAGGGACTTTGGCGAGATTTACCAAAATGTAAAATCACGTGTCAATTGACTTTCATCTTCAATATCAATTCTACTTCTGGAGCTTCATCCGAAGGATATATCCTCGTATTTCTCCAAAGATGCATTTTTTAAAATGTTCATTTCAATCCCATATTTAATAATACAATCCCTAAAATAACCTGAGTTCCATCCATAGGAAAATGGATAATAAATCCAGTGACTCCAAGTAGTGTGATACCCATCTATATCAGCAATTCAAAAATCCAAACATTCTGGACACTGAAGTTTTAAAGAGAGTTTGCAGTGTACATATTTGTTGGTGCATCTGTTCTGTGTGGTTGATAGCTTTTATTCATTGCAGTCAGTGTGAATATTCATTTGTTACACTGCAGAAATAACAGTATGGTTGAAAAAGAAGTGCCTCCCCGGAGCTTTCTGGGAATTTATTATAAAGAGTATTATCTTTCCAAAGTTTGAAAAATTGTGACTACTGAAATACATCTGACCCTAAGGGTGCAGAATAGGGCACTGTGGGCTTGGATTCACAGCAGTTGAAATTTATGTAATAAATATATGTGGTGTTGATGGGATATTATTACCTGATAAAAAGCAAAGGTATAGAATTGTGTATATAAAAGTTCTTTGGGTAAATGCTTCTATGTGCATAAACATAACTGGAAAAATATATAAAAACCTAATTCTGATGTTTAGGTTCCACCCTAATTCTCTGCCAAAGCTGCCCTCGTTAACTACACACTGAAGTAAAGCAGGTACATAGCTCCTTGGGTTCTGGCTTCAGCACGAGGCTTTTAGTGGCTGAGAAACTTGCTCCCTCTGCTTGGCAAAACTTAACCCAATTTATCCGACAATACATACTTTCTAAAATAATGCCTCCCGGGTATTAATGAGTTGCCTTCTTTGGGGATTAATATACATTAAATAAGCATCTCTAAAGAAGTTGATAAATAGTATTAACATGTAAAGGAAAACATTAGCTTATTATGTTCAATATCACCAAAAAATAGAATACTTAACAAATACTACTAAAAGAGGAACGTTGACAATAGCAAATACACACACACACACGCACACGCGCGCGCGCGCACACACACACACACACACAGCCCGGGAGGTTGTAAGAGCCCATCAGTAGCAATGGAACATCATTTCTTACTATTTTGCCTTTACATGTAGTAGCTTGACAAGGACTCACTTTAGTTGAATTGAGCCACTGAGCCCTTAGAGACAGTCCGTTAAGAAGGCACATGATGGGTTATTAAACAGGTGTAATGAGGGAATTCCCTGGTGGTCCAGTGGTTAAGACTCTGCACCCTTGCTGCTGAGGGCCCAGGTTCGATCCCTGGTCAGGGAACTAAGATTCCACAAGCTGCGAAGTGTGGCCAAAGCTAAAAAAAATTAAATAAAACAAACAGGTGTAATGATGCAAATTCACTCTTAGAGGTTTAGATCTTAGAGATAACAGAGGTCAACCCTCTCAGCTTCGTGATGGGGAAACTGAGGCTCCCTTACAGAAGGACCCAGCACCTCGCTCAACCCCTCCCTCCTGCACACCTGAGCTTTGGAAACCTGAGCAAGGTTCACAGCCGTGAAAAGCTTGCTGCCAGTGCCACTCAAGCCCACCTGTCACCAGGCACCAGGGCTCAAACGAGGACTCCCTCCTATCCCGTTGCTGTGAGTGGACGGGCTCCCACCTCAGTGTCTGCAAATCCGAATAGGGATTGTGTTTATTTGTTCATTTTAACTTCCAACTTCATTCCGGGATCTGGGACACTGCAGAGAATGAGATTATAATCTTACATGGAATAATAATATTATCTGGCTGATATAGAAAAAGAAGTGTTTACCTCACTCTGACTCTTTTTGGACATAAACTAGCTATTGGCTCCAAGCTATCTTTCACACTTCCTACTGGTCCTCTTCTTTATCCAGGAAGTTAATTATATTCCTATACTTGCTCATGGTTTGGCTTTAAAAAAGCTCCATTTCTATGCTATGTCATTAAGATACTCTATGATCCTTAATCCTTTCCTCACTGACTTTGATATGATGTCGTGTTACGTCCAGTTACGTGTTTGTTTTTTCTTGCTTTATTCTTTTTTTTTTTTTTTTGCGGTACACGGGCCTCTCACTGTTGTGGCCTCTCCTGCTGCGGAGCACAGGCTCCGGACGCGCAGGATCAGCGGCCATGGCTCATGGGCCCAGCCGCTCCGCGGCATGTGGGACCTTCCCAGACCGGGGCACGAACCCGCGTCCCCTGCATCAGCAGGCGGACTCCCAACCACTGCGCCACCAGGGAAGCCCTCTTGCTTTATTCTTTATTCTGGTCTTATGCACTCCCAGACCCATCTCCTGCCCCATGTGGTCAGTGCCTTCCCTCCCCCTTCCCTCCCATTTCTCTCCCTCCCTATCCACACCCGGCCCCAGTCACACCTGTGGCCCCAGGGCCCACCATGCCCTTGGCGCTCTTTCTCAGAGGATCAGGCTACATGGACTTGAAAGTCAAAACACTAGACTTTATATCCAGCCTGTCATTGTTTCCTTCTGGGCTCCCAGACTTTGCTTATGTCTGAGTTCCTATGATTAGGCTTTTCTGTGCTAAAACCCACAGAGTCCCTAAATGAAAGGGCTGTCTTAGCTCTTGTAGATGAGAACCCCCAAGTTAAAGTGCCTAAGTCCCCTCCCCTGTTGCCTCTTCACCTATTTCCCCATCTCTTTGAAGGGCATCAGTATCTGGGCATTAAAGAGAAACCTGGAGAGAATGCAGACAAAAATGGTAAGTTTGCACGATTTGGGAAACAGGCCGAATACAAAAGAAACTCAGGTAGATTAGCAATACCTGTACGAATTAATACGTGTAATCATTTCAGCTTAAAAGGAAATAAAGCTTATTCATGTGACTGCAGGTTAAACGTCTTTATAAAGGTATTTTGATAAAGTTGCTAATGTCTAACGTTGATGAACTTGAAAGGAAGCCACAGATGTTCTCATACAGAGATTTTGGGGGATTTATCAACTCCAAGGAATCTTGATAAAGTCTGTTGGTCTTCAGCCCTTTTTGTCAAGGAGCGAACAGGCCATCCACAAGACACTGGGAAGCGTGTTCAATGTGGCACTTGGCCTGCCACTCATCTGATTAGCTCTTCTGGAAAATGGTCATTTACTTCATTCCTTAATGTAAAATGGTAAGGTGGTGTGTATACAACATTAATTAATTTTTCAAACTTAAGAGATCTCCATGCAGTGTGAGCCCTCACTGTACTGGGACCTCAGGGACATTTCTGAAGAGTCTCTCTGGACTGACCAAAATGCCCAGTGCAGCCCCCTCTGCCCCTGGACGGATCCTCACACGTCCTGGGACATAGCCAGAGCAACTGTGACTGTGGACATGTCTGTCTCCTACTTAGACTGTTACTGGGGGGGCTCTGCTTTATTCCTAGTGTCTAATGCAGTGCCTGCCACTCTCGTGTAATTCCTTAAAACGAAGCATTTACTGAATAAATGAAGAAACGCTTATTCCAGGCAAGTGCCTCCTAGCAGGTCAATACCACGGCTCAGCTCTTTAGGAATTCTTGGCACACAAATGAGGTACGTTCCTGGCTCAGCAGCTGTTACGTCCCTGGGTGCTTTGACAGAGATACCATTTCTCTGGTCCAGGCGACAGTATATGAGGGCTGGGGGCAAGTCAGTGCCACAGAAGCCACACACAGTCAGTGAAAGGCTGTGAAGATAAAACTGCAGCCAGGCCAGGCTTCTGGGGGCCTGCGGGGAGTCTGCTGGGAGGTCGTCGCCTCTTTTCTCAGTAATGGTTTATTACATAGAAAACATGCAGGAAGGAGCCGTTTTCAATCCTAGTGTAACCACTTCGTAGATCTATCACCTCATAAGTCACTTAACCGCTCTGAGTCCCCAAATCCTTATATGTTTTTTGTTTTTATAAATTTATTTATTTATTTATATTTTTTATTTTTGGCTGTGTTGGGTCTTCGTTGCTGTGCATGGGCTTTCTCTAGTTGTGGCGAGTGGGGGCTACTCTCTGTTGCGGTGCGTGGGCTTCTCTTTGCAGTGGCTTCTCTTGTTGCGGAGCACGGGCTCTCGGTGCGCGGGCTTCAGGAGTTGTGGCACGTGGGCTCAGTAGTTGTGGCACGTGGGCTCAGTAGCTGTGGCTCACAGGGTCTAGAGTGTAGGCTCAGTAGTTGTGGTGCACAGGCTTAGTTGCTCCCCCGCGTGTGGGATCTTCCCGGACCAGGGCTTGAACCTGTGTCCCCTGCATCGGCAGGAGGACTCTTAACCACTGCGCCACCAGGGAAGTCCTCCTTATTTGTTTAGAAAAGAAAAAAAAAAGTAGTAACTGCTTTATTTTTGTCATTAAAAAAATAAATTTCATAACTGATTGTTGTAAGGATTAAATTTCATGAAGTATGTGAACATTCCTAAAATACCGCCAGACATTTTTTCATTGCTCAGCCAACAGACATAAATAGAATCTGAATCTGAATGTTGTGTCTGGGGAATTTATAGTTTCTTTATAGGAATATAACGGCCTCAGGAAGGTCCGTAAGAAAAATGTGATTTGTTTTGAGGAAACATGCGTTATAAACAATTTAATGGAATGCACCTTTTCTATAAAAAGCATCATTTAGTGATTGTCTGCTATGCAAAAGAGACACCTGTTTCTAAAACCACCTGTGCTTAGGAAAAGGAAGTAAGCTTTGCAAGATCACGTCAACTGGTGACCAAATCAGGAAAATAATTTGAGAGCCTGGATTCATGGACATATGCTCAGCTGTTTGATTTATCCTGGAGGTGAAGCTGGAGCCAGTGGGGATTAGATGGTTGATTCTATTTTTCTCAGCCCTGGAAGTGGATGCAGGAGCTATGAAATACACCAGGGCTTGTCCTCTTTATTCATTGCCTTTTCCTTATTTTGCTCCCTTTGAAACATTAAATCTGTAATTTTTTAAAGTTGTTATTATAATTTGAATGAAATGTATTCTCTCTTCTCCATCTTCTGATTGGTTGAAACCACATAAAAGCAAGTGAATATGATGGGAATTAAGTCTTGGCAGTGGGTATTAGGTTGATGTGTTGATTTCAAGTTGCTGTTAAGGAAATAATTAAACCATGATTTTGTTGGTGATTTTATTTGTCTGCTGTGTGTGAAGGACATTTATTTGCATTAGCAGAACATTAATTAATAAATTTCTATGCTGTTATCTAAACTGGGGTCCATCTAAGAAAAATAGGATAGATTTGCTTATCTAACTAGATACTATTAATTTAAGGGAAAACCAACAACAACAAGATTCCTAATCAGCAAATAATTCAAGCCAATGAGTTCTAAAAGGCCACACAGTTGCTTGTGTTTTCTTTCTTTCTTTCTTTTTAAAATAATTTCAGCATTTAAATGTTTTTCTTCTTTTGCTCTTACATTCTCATTGGAGTGTGTTTATTTTATTATCATGGGGGTTGCAAAGATTTATTTTTAATACTCTAGTCTTAGAATAAGAAATGATATTCAGCACCAGGGCATGCACACTTACTTAGCATAAGAATGTGTTCTGCTTTAAAAGCAATTGCCTGGGAAACAGCAGTGCCAGAGCTAGAACAACTTATATAGGGGAAAGTTGACTACTTGAAGAAAACACTGAAGTGCTGAATTATCAGAATAATCCTGAGATCAGGGCGGCGCCTTTCCTTCCTTCTCTGCCATGGTCATGCTGAGGTCATATTTTGATGATGTCGAATTTTCAGCATCTTAGTGCATTTGCATTCTCCCTATTTTCAGGATAGAAATCGTGCTGTGTTATAAATACATTATAATGGTAACGTCAGGGTAACGAAAACCCCCCCTTTTTTTTAACCTTGACAAGATTTTTGTCTTTCAAGTGGGGGATGAAATAGTAAAGATGGATTATAATTCCTTTTCTTAAAATAATGAAGAACATATTTTATAAATGGCATTTAGAGCTGCAAATTAGCATCTATAGCTACCATTTGTTTTGTTTTTTAATGTATTCAAAGTCGGATTTTGGGGAGAGGGTGAGAAAATCTTAAATAAGGAATTAAAGAGTTCAGTGCAATTGCAAACTATAAAGAAGAACGTTCTTACTGTTTCCGAGAAAGATGATGCCATTTTCTCAATATCCCACTTCTTTCTTGTACACAGCTTTCCTCTAGTAAACTATTCTTTAAACTTTCTATTGGAGGATAATATTCATTATATCAGTGAGCATGTCTGTGTAACCAGCGCCCAGGCACAGGACACAGCTGTATCCCAGGAGCCCCCGTGAGCTCTAGCAGTCACTACCCTCCCCACAGTAACCACCACTGACCTCTATCAACAGACTGGTC